GGTCAGAAATCAACTGAGATCACGCACGCTTGAAATTAAAAAATAAATATTTTTGTTTCGGATCAAGCTTGCACAAGCGTGCACTTGCTTGTTGTATGCAGTGTGAGCGGCGATGGACAAGCATCACTTGTTTCTGTCGCTCTCCTGAGGATTTTGTTTCTATGTGCACGCTTGCGCACGCGCGCGCCGTCAAATTATTGCAAAAGCGTGCCTCTAATGTGATCGAAGCCTAATGTAGTTGACAACGTCGCCAAGAGAAGCACCTTCTCTTAAGATGGTTTTCCACTAAACGGACAGTTGAATTTATGTTTTGTTTGTGTTTTCTGAAACTTGAAAAACACAAACAAAACTAAGACAAACCCAAAACTCCTGTTTCCGTCAAACGGGCTACATTTTGTTCCAGTTTCCTTTTTGTTTTGGGTTCTTTTCCACTGGTTGTCGCGAGGAAGTCAATACACATTTTTTTCAGAATTTTATTTATATTTGTATATTTATTTTTTAAGATCGGTTCAACCTGAAAATACATATAAAATTAGTTTAAAAGATGAATGTGACATCATAAAAACCTAAAAAGGACAATATTTGGACTTAACATAGTCTGGCTCTAACACACAGATATATATTCTACCACTTATACTGTGATTCTACTAATAAATATACTTATATAATGTATATTAGATTTAAATAGAACTGTGGGCCATGTGATCTCCCCCACCTCAACCTTTTCAGATCTATTGTGAATATGCTTTAATCATTGGTTAGAGAACCTTATCTAATTTGATCTTTTGCAGTAGACTCCATAGACTGGAAAGTTGTTTTCTGATATAGCTTGATTTTATTCTCCAAGTGTAAGGAATCTTAGTCTTGCTAGACCTTAGCAGTAGCACAATACGTGTTCTGACGTTTCCTCCTCTTCCTGACAGAATCGGCACAAGGTCTCTTCTGTCAGACCGATATTATACATATTTGTTAAGCCGAAAATGCTCTGTTAATGGGCCTACTAGTAGTGCCGGTTTGTGACCCAAATTTTGGGGGTTCACAGTGACAGAATGTAGATATCAGTACAGATTTATGAAAAAAACATTTAGTGTTTTAGAAAGTTCATAATATACCTTTCTAAAACACTGACAATTTTTTAACTACATCTGTACTGAGATATACAGGGTGTTTCAAAAAGGTATGTCATAAATTCTTTCACAGATAGATTACCAAAAAATAAGTGGATTTGGCTATGTTTACCTATATCAAAAACTGGCTCCTAACAAAGTTACAGGGTGTTAAACTAACATTCAAAAAAACGTTCTATTTTTGTAAAAAGTTTGCTGTTGCGAATTTTTCTTTGAAATGTTTGCCAGTGCTATAGATTTAAAGGCCCAATATTCTAAGGAGAAAAAAAATTTAAAGCGACCCCTTTAAAAAAAGTTGGGGGGGGGTGGGTACCTTAAAATTTTTTTCTACTTGGAATATTCGGCCTTTAAACCTACAGCATTGGCAAAAATTTCAAAGAAAAATTCGCAACAGTAAACTTTTTACAAAAAAAAAACGTTTTTTTAAATGTTAGTTTAACGCCCTGTAACTTTGTTATGAGCCAGTTTTTGATATAGGTAAATATAGCCAAATCCACTTATTTTTTGCTAATCTATCTGTGGAAGAATTTATGATATACCTTTTTGAAACACCCTGTATATTCTGCTATTGTGAACCCCCAAAATTTTGGTCACCAGCTGCCCCTGCCTACTAGTACTCTAGTATTTTTCCTATTAAGGCTTAGTAGATGATCGGTGAGTTTAGGCGATGGTCCTTTTAAGAACTCTCTGTCCTGTCTCTATCCTGGTGAGTTTTTTCTCAATTCGTGAGATTTTTTAAACATCCACTGCTTTGTACATGTTCTGATAGTTGTCTCTGTGACACCACATAAGAGTTTTAGGCCAATAAGAGCCTTTGAAGCTTCTTCTCGGGCTAGTAAATCAGCCTCTTCGTTGCCTCCTCTGTGGCCTCGTACCCAGGCTAAGGTTGGTTAAAGTTGAAATTTTGTTTTTTCGACACGAGTCTGTGTTTTGTTTTTGTTTTGTCTGTTTAGTGGAAAACCGTCATTATATCGGCCGGCATTAGCCAATTTTCGCCGAACACAATCTTCTAATAAATGAGAGCGTCGAGTATTCGTAGAGGATATGCTAGATGGTCTCATCTTTTTGTTCGCATCCACTGAAGAGTGAGGATTCGCCCCATGATATGGAGATGCTTACGTAGTCAGAATGCCTGTGATTAGGCGCAGATTCTGTCTAGTTATAGTCAAGTTATTGTTTGCTATAACGTTGCCAGGATAACTTAAATGCTCCCTGGCGAGTTTGCAGCTTCTTGTTTCATCCCATCTTTCCATGCATTTCACAAGGGAATATTCATTTATTAGGTTTGTCACTACCGATGTTAAAAGGACTATTTATGAAACCAGTTACATACAATATTTTTTCTAATTTTGATTGGAATATTTATAAACTTGTATTTTGGTAAGAAATTACTGACATATAGGCAACCAATATTACTACTTTCTTGTATTATTAGTTTCATACGCATCATTTTATTGACAGAACATAATATTAATCATTATTTATTCTCAACGACTTGTAGTGTTTATGCGGATTTCCTATTAAAGTTATTTGGTTTTCAAAAAAAGTGGTTTATTTTGTCGTGTATTGTGTTTTAAATATTTTGTGCTAATTTAGAATGAAAAATAAGGACCAAAACATCATTACTACTAGGTTGTAAGTCAACCTGCCCTTCTTTGATATAAACTTTTAATAATAATGTATAGTATTGACTTTAAAACAAAAACAGGTATATTTTTATTTATTTTTTTTGCAACTGGTGAAGTGATGAAGTTTTCGAAATCAGTTTCATAATGTTCAACATTGTGTAACTGTTTGCGTAAAGCAGATCATTTAAAAACTTGTTGCGATTACAAAAATGTCATTTTTTATGTCAAAATTAAAAAAAAAATATTTAATGGTATTTTTAGAAAATTTTAAACTTAAACATGCTGTATCTTGGTAACTTTAAAAGTTCAAGTTCCTGTAATAAAATTCATAATTTAAAGGAAGCTCTCTGCGTAAATAGATTTATAATATGACAAAGGAGCTGAGAGCGAGTCTTTCCCGGCATTCAAGATTTTCAAAGATATGTTATCCAGACCCGCACTACCCAAGTAACATTTTGAAGATAATACAGTTTTATTTATTTTTTATTACGATTTTGTAACAGCATAAAAATTAACAATTATTTTATTACAGTTATTTTTTTTGCTAATATGACTGCAGGATAAATTGATCTTATTACTTGGTTTTATAGATTCCTTTAAATCTGTGTAAGAAAACTAGTTTATCCTAAAGTAAACTATGCTTTATCGCTATCCTGTAAGGGTTAATTAATAAGTAATTTTAGAATTTTAGAACTAGTTAGTTTTAAGATACTCCTAAGGTGTGTTTAGTATTAAAGAGTCATACTTTTTAGCAGTTATCTTAAGTAGGTTTTAAAACTTTAAAAAGTGTTTTAGGATTATAACTTTAAATTATATTGATCCCAGAACCTTTTAGATACGTTTTCTACAATTTTATAACATAACTAGTAAACCATAGGGCTCTTTTAAAACAACATAGTTTTAATAAGAACTAAAGTTTGTTTTAGGGCATAACCTAGCTTTTCAACACAATCAGATTATGTTGACGTTGAAAGATATATTGTTCAAAATAAAGAAAAGTGGTAATTTCCATAGAAAATAAAAAAAATGTATGTTTCTCCTTCTCCTCAGTGTCTAATAAGTTCATTGTGTTCCATTGATTAACAAATATCAAAACATTCCTAGGCTCCTAATATTCTGGAAATGAACAGTGAAAGAGAAAAATGGTTAATATATTATTACTAATTTTTATATTTTGAATGACTTGTTCGTAGAGTAAATAAGAAGATCAAGAGTGAGGTTAGGTTATGCCCGTCTGATTGAACTTATGAATGTTTTATTGAGGTTTTCGTTTTTACTATTGTTTTATAAAACGCTTTAAAAAGTGTAGCAGAAGCTTTTTAAAACTGGAAAGTCCTAAAAAGTATATTTTTTTGCTTTATTAGTTTTATAAGCTAATGTCCGTTTTTAGGTACAGATAGAACACAATCAGGAAATCCTCCATTTTAAATATGGCAGTGGCTGTTTAACCACATATCATGTAAAATAGTACCTGTCTACCAGACCTGTACCTAAAGGATATTTCAAGTATATTTCATATATTGTAAGGTCCATCAATTATTACGACGCACCTTGCCCATTTTTAACATTACTTTGGGGTGTATTTGAAAATTAAAAAAAAACAAGTGTAACTAAACAAATTAAACATACACTATATAATAATTAATTTCTAATATGGCAGTCTTCCCAACATGTTTGCAAAATCATTCTGTCAGAGAGTATGATAAAACAGATTAAAGCTAAAATAGTTTAAAATTTAATTTTCTTAAAACTGATTAGTTTTGTAAAGTTTTTGTGCCTATCCCACTTATTATCATAATCATAAAAAAGATTTAAAAATGGTTTAATAAAATTCTTAATATACTCTTACGAACTTTGTCTCAAGTTTAATTAAACTTAAGATATTGTTTTAAAAATACTCCTAAGAACCGTTATAGGATTCTCCCTTTTACTCTTAAAGCAGATTTATAGCAGCCCTAAGGCTATCTCGCGGATTCAAAAGTTTTATCAGTGTCTTAAAAAAGGTTTTGTGGTTACCTTGTATACTTTGATAAATCTAAAAATGTTACTTGGGTAGGCGTATTTTCAATACTCAGAATTAAATTTTCAACCTTTTGAGGTGTCGTTGGTGGAAAAAATAAAGATATTTCACAATATTTTGGTGTTATACATGAAATTGGTCTTAAACAGCAGGTGGGCGATATTCGCAAAAAATTTGAAAACCATACATATACAAAAAATTAGTAAATAAATCACAAAAACTTACCTTGTATTATTAACATTTTGCCAACCTCCTTCAATAAGCGTACTATTTTCTGGATAGGGAGGTAGGAAGTGTTCTGCATAAACCTACAAAAATTAGATTATTTCAATTTTCATTAACAACCAACTTTATAATCAAACACACAACTATGTAGCTCTAAACTGTAATAACAATAGCCTCGAGATTAGATTTCAGGTAATTTTCAGTACAATGTATAAAACCTTTTAACAGCAGTTTGCGAATTAAGAGCAGAAAGTGCCTCTTTGTCGCTAAAATGACGCGCGACACAAGGCGGAGCTTTGAAAATGGCTGAAAGCCACCATAACGTACAAAAGAATTTCCATGCAATCGCATTTTATCGGTCTAATCGGTCCAATATTTTTTTATCTCTACGTATAAGTCAGATTAAAGTTTTTGATCTAAAAGTTTTCTATCGAAATAATTTTTTATTTATTGGAAAATCATACAAGGAGGCCCATTAGTTCGAGGAAGTACAGTATACAGAGTGGGCCAACGATAACGCTTCGGTCTTTAGAGCCTAAACTATTTAAAAATAATGTCAATTATACAGGGTTCCCCAAGAAAGTGATACATATCAAAGTTAGGTTTTTTAAATGGGACACATTGTATTTTGTTTTATATTTTTGAATTGCCGTAGCTTTTCTTATTATAACAACACGAAATAGTATGAGATTATACAGGGTATTTCAAACGCTTTAAACCAGTTTTATATAAAAATCGTATTGATTTCTATGACCTGTACTAAAACCTCGGGTGAGAAGATATATCGTAATCCTAGGACCTGTAACTGAGGAGCTTTCAAGGAAGAACTCAAACAGGGACTGGAGAACTGTCCTCCGATACCGAAGAATTTAGTGGAAGTTGAGTTTATGTCAGAGTTTCTGACACGAGCCCTAACCAACACGTTTGAAAAAACTGCCCTTTAAAAATTAGGAAACAGGATTGAGATGCTGTATGGTGGAATCGAGACCTTTCCAAAAAAAGAGCAGAAGTTCGTAAACTCTCTAACCTGTCTAAAAGGTCGGGAACTGGGAAGCCTATAAGGCGTACCGGAGAAAATATGGCTGTCATTAGGAAAGCCAAAGAAAATTCCTGGAAGAAATTCTGTGACGGCATTGAAAGCCTTCCAGAATGTGCCAGACTCAGGAAAACTCTACAGAGAGATAAGCAAGAATGCATGGGATCTCTGAAAAATCAACCAGGAGAACTCACAAAAACAGAGGAGGAGATCTTAGATTTACTACTAAAGTCACACTTTCCTGGATGAGAGATTATTCTTGACCAAGAGAACAGGAGTACTGAGGCACTAATTTCTAGGGCCTCAAAAACAAACTGGTCTCTTGAAAACTCAATAGTAAACAGAACAAAACTTGTGTGGGCGATAAATTCCTTTCAACTATACAAAATAGCTGGACCTGATGGTATAATCCCCGACACGTCTACAAAAGAGCCAGGAAGTACTGGAGGGACCACTGTGTAAACTATTCCGAGCTAGCATAGCCCTCGGATATGTTTCACAAAGCTGGAGGTGTGCAAGATTAGTCTTCATTCCCAAACCTGGGAAAGAGTCTTTCTTACGAGGAGACCAAATCTTTCAGATCAATCAGCCTAACATCAATTCTCCTAAAATATTGGAGAAATTGATCGATAGATATATACGGGACGATGTTCTACGGGATAAACCGATACATCGATACCAGTTTGCCTTCCAATCTGGAAAGTCTTGCGATGCAGCCATACATAGGCTAGCTCAACAGGCTGAACAAGCATTGAAAAGAAAAGAAATAGCACTAGGAGTCTTCCTAGATATAGAAGGAGCCTTTGACTCGGCTTCATACAAATCAATACTGGGATCTATGCACTGGCGTGGAGTAGCCCACTGCATTACGAGGTGGGTTGAGTTCATGCTTAATCATAGAACCATTACTAGTGATCTCCTTAACACAACAAGAGAGGTCTTAGTTAACAAGGGATGCCCGCAGGGAGGTGTATTATCTCCTATTATGTGGACCTTGGTGGTTAATGACCTCTTATGGGAGTTAGAGAGAGAAAACTTATACACACAAGCATTTGCAGACGACATAAGCATCGTAGTAAACGGTAAATTTGGGTCTGTTGTATACGAAAGGATGCAGCGGGCACTAAATATGGTGCCTAAAAGAGGGATTGTCCACAAACCCGACAAAAACCTCTGTTGTTGCATTCACAAGAAAAAGGAACCTTCAAGGAATGAAGGAGCTTTAAATGTGGGGACAACATCTAAAAATGGCAAAAGAGGTTAAATATCTTGGAATCACTCTTGACCTGGGGTCACTGACAACAGTCTTCCAGGCTGAAGTAACAGCAATAAATGCCATCGCGAAAGTCATGCTAAATGACTCTCTTAGAGATAGGATCTTTATCATGACAGGCAGTCAGGCAGCCCTTAAAGCACTAAAAAGGGTAGAAATATAATCTTAAATCAATATTTGATTGCCAACAGTCCCTCCAGGCTCCGCCAGAACATAACAAGATTACCCTTGAATAGGTGCCAGGACAGGAGGGAGTGAGAAAAAACTCTTATTGGACTAGAACCCACATATGGTATCTCATACCAACATGTTAAATGGGTGTTAAAGGAACAAATAAATAGAGAACACCGTAGGCTCTGGATGGAACTTCCTGGACTTAGATAGTCCAAAATATTCATAGAGGGGCCATCTACGAGCAGACAACATTAACTGCTAAATCTTAGCAGAAGCGAACTTAAGACCGTAATAGTACTCCTTACGGGACACTGCGGCCTTAGAGGACACCTAAATCTCTTAGGGATATCTGATGACTCTTTATGTAGAATATGTGAAGAGGAGGATGAAACTCCTATTTACATACTATGCCACTGTCGGAACCTTAAATGGGAACGGGAATGGTACTTCGGGGTACAATATCCGGAACCTGAAGAAATTTCGAAAGCGCCCATCAGACATATTCTTGAATTCATCAAGAAAATCAATCTGATGGGATAGAAACTGTGAGGGGTACAATAAGCCCAGAGCTTCAGTACAAGTGGGCTCTGAACCACGCCCTAATTCAGATAGATATAGATAGATAGATGACATGTATACTGCAAAATAAATAATTAATAACTAATTTTTTTGCAGTAAATGATTAGTTAGTTCTTGTTACTTCTTGTTAATCAGTGGCCAATTAAAATTAGAGTATTTTTTGAATTATCTTTTTGTCATTTACATTTAAAAGTCTCTTAAAATTATTAAGTTTAGATAGGCTTGAGGACCGCTAGCTTAAGGAATAAAAAAAAATAAGAAAATGATGTATTTGAGTTTTTACTCATCCTGTACAGATTTGATTTAAATTGAAAAAAGTACTGCATCGGCATAATGTTGACTAATATCGAAAACCTTTTACTGCAAATTAATTGGTTTTCAATCCTTTCGTTTTCAGTATACGATTTTAATAAAAAACTGGTTATAGCGTGAGAAATTTCTGTATAATGTCATAATACTTGATATCGTTATAATGGGCAAAATGAAAGCAATTTAAATAAAAAATAAAATACAGGGTGTTTCATTTAAAAAAACCTAACTTTATTATGTATCACTTTCTTGGAGAACCCTGTATAATTTTTTTTATCGAGTTTAAATTTACAATCTACTCTTATTATAAAACAGTGTATTTAACAAATAGTTTGAGTTTTGACTTGTTTTGGGTACCATCTAGTGAGGATTCTTCAATATACCCAATCAGTTAGGTCTTCGTCATGACATTTTGAGCCTTCTTCCCACTAGCGACAGCTGGTAAAGTAGATTTATGGTTTGGCTATCATTAACGAAATTTCTTTCATTGGCTTTGTTTGCATGTAGAGTGATTCTTCCATTGGTAACGTACCATTTGCTATTATACGCAACGTCTTCGATTGGAAGGTTTGTAGTAAAATTAATCTAACTAGACCACATTTCTGTGTGTGTTAAAGTTAAGAGGCTAGATCACTTCTCTAACTCAAAATCCACCTTTTTTCCAATAGAAATCTCTTTAAGGGCTTCTAAAGTTTATAATAAAATGTTAAAAACCTTTATAATTTGGAAATTACACAGGAGAACGCTATACATAGAAAATACTAAATCTTGATTTAAAAATGCCATAGTTCTTTTACTAAAAATATTTTCGACAAATCATTTTCAAGACACTGTGACTGAAAATTACTTTTACTGTTAGTAGATCTAAGCTTGGACATGCACATGCAATGTTAATATTACATTTTCTTTTCAACAATTGTATCTTTCCATTCCAATGAATGCATTCCTGATATGAACATCGATAACAATGGTCGAAACAAAAATATGTCATACATTCTCCGTAGAGGTTATAAAACACTACTATCTAGATACACGAAATAAAAAAAAACTAGCAGCTCTACATCAAACGAAATAAAAAAAAACCATTCTCAAATGAAAACAAAAACTATGATTGCACTTGTACATGTACCTTCGAGGCTGATGGGGCGGAGTGCTCGATAACGGGCAGAGCAACGGGGGGTCTTCCTCCTATTAGGAGAGCCCCCAAAGTGTCGTCGTTCATCATTGCAGCTCCGACCCTTATTGATATGTAGTCATCGCTCTGGAAAATAAACCGTGCAAGTTAGGTTCTATCTACCAATGTTTTTTACAATTTGAAATGGAATGTTAGCAGACAGGTTTGGACTGTAAGGAATTATTTTGGTAGCTGACTATGATTACGTATATAGACTAGTCAAATTAAGAAAATTAATTATAAATCTGGGCCAGATTACAAATGTTTCTTTATAACATATTTTTTTTTTTTTTATATTAAATTTAGTCGCATCCAACAAAAGGTTATTAGCGACGAAACAATACATCAGCGCCGACTAGAGGAGGGACAGCCGGGACTAATTCCCGGGGCCCGGGCTCAAATGGCCGCGGCAGCGGTATAAGGGGGGCCCGACAGCGGTGGTGAGAATTTTTTTGTTACTTTCAGAAGTTCGACACAAGAGGGAGGAAGTTCTTGCTGGAAGAGCTTTTTTTTAGAGGAATTCAGGGGGAGAAATGTTTGTTTCAAGACCTTTTTTGTTTTAAATCTTTTTAAAATTGTCCAGGGGCCCGATCTGGAGAATTGTCCTAGGGCCAGGTCTGGCTCTCGGCGGCCCTGCAATACATTAATTATAAATCTAAATTTCATATAACATTTCCATAGATTTTAGATAGTCAATAATGTTTTTAAGAGGAATATCAAATAGTTTGTTTATGTTGTTTGGTTTCACATATGGGTGGGTCACTATTAGAAAATAGAAGTGCGTAAATCTTGTATGATCTAGCCGTAAACGGGTGATGATTATTTGCACTCTTCTGTTTAATGTCGAATATTGCCAAGGTGTAATATTATTTTTAATTTGTTTTAATTTAGACCGACTATGTTGTCACTCACGAGACCACATACACAATATTTTCTTTTTGAAGAACGATTTAAGATCATTCGTGACACTGTGAGACACTATTTCCGACACTTCATTCGTTATTGCATTACGCGTACACTGATCTGCTGTCTCGTTGCCTTCAATTCCGATGTGGGAGGGTATCCAAATGATGTGTATGCATCTTGAGTATTCTTGAGCCTGCAGTAGTTCGGACTTTATCATTTTTTTCAATTGAGGTTTTCGGGTATATATGTTGCAATGCTAATATTGCACTAAGAGAGTCTGAGAGTATTAAGCTTTTGGAAATATTTGATCTATTTAAATGCTTAAGAGATTTGTAGATAGCGAAAAGTTCAGCGGTAAAAATGCTAGAGGTTGACGGAAGTTTGAAAAAAAATTTGTCCTGAGGTGTTACAAATGTTGCCTGAACACCAGTGTCATCTTTAGAAGCATCAGTAAAACACTTTTGATAGTCCTGATATTTGTCTAAAATATTATTAAGGTTGCCTTTTATAATACTTGAGGAAATTTCATGTTTATTGTATTGGCAGAGGTCCATGTTGGTTTAAGGAATTTTAATGATCCAGGGAGGAGGATGGTCAAGATCGAAAGGAAAGACTTCTGGAAAGTCAATCTCTAGGTGACTAAGATAACTTCGAATTCGCTCATAATAAGGTTTTGATGTGTGTGGCTTATTGCTAAAGTAATTTATATATTTTTTAGTGAAGGTATTATTGAAAAGTGGCTTATTTCTATTAAAGGCTATCGAAGTAGCATGTGATAATGATAGATACATTCTCTAGTAGTGCAGGGATGGTTCTCCAGTTTCATAGTAGATACTTTCAATAGGGGAAGTGCGAAAGGTTCCCATATCAATACGAAGAGCAGCATTTTGTACAGTGTCTAACAGTTTCAAAGTGGTTTTGCTGGCTGATCCATATGTAATAAACCCGTAGTCAATCTTTGATCTTATTAAAGTTTTATACAGGGTTAGTAAGGCATGATAGTCTGAGCCCCAGTTTCTGTTTGCCAGAGTCTTCATTACGTTAAGTCTCTTATGACAGCAAAGGGTTAAATGTTTTATGTGTTCTTTCCAGGATAGCCTTTGGTCGAACCACATTCCCAAGAACTTTACTGATGGTTTAAAAGATATATTTTGGATAAATAACTGTAAAACTGGAAAGATTACAGAAGTTTTTTTGGAGAATACAATTCCAACAGTTTTTGCCACGGAAAAAATAAATCCTGTATCAAGAGACCATTGGTGTAAGAGTAGCTTTAGCTAAATCTCGCCCATTGTATCATACTAACATTATCTTTCAATAAAGTCGTTTATTATTATTATTATTATTATTGTTCCAATTTCATCAAACAGTTTTGCAGAAAAATTGACATGATATCCACATTTTTTCCTTTAATATAGATTACCAGGTCATCAGCATATAAGCGTGCTTTTAAAGGTGTTGTTAAACTTTTTATTATGTCATTTATAGCTACCAGAAACAGTGTAGGACTAATTATTGACCCTTGTGGAGTTCCATTGTCTTCGTTTTGATTTTCCGAGAAGGAATTATTTACTCTTACACGAAATGATCTATCGGTCAGAAAATTTTTGATAAAAGCAAGACAGTTGCCACGAATATTACACGAGTGAAGTTTTCTTAGAATGTTAATTCTCCAGCAGGTGTTAAAGGCTCTTTTTATGTCAAAAAATATTGCTATACAAGTTATTTTGTTGCTAGAGATTCGTGAATTTCGCTTTCTAGATCCAAAATATTATCGATCCCAGATCGGTTTTGTCTAAAACCGTTTTGCTCGGAGATTTAAGTGGCTAGAATTTTCCAAAGTCCACATAAGTCTATGGTTGATTATTTTTTTCTAGTAGCTTACTCATGGAGCACGTTAAACTTATGGGTTTGTAAGATTTAGGTTCTAAATGAGGTTTCTGATTTTGTAGAAGAGGAAGGAGAATAGCTTTAGGCCATAGACATGGAAAGAGGTGTTGGTGCCATATTAAATTAAATAGTTGGAGAAGATATAACATATTTAATATATTGCTTTAAATGATTAAGCAATTAAGTATGTAGAAGATACCAGCCCCCATTTTTTTATGATGATCTATCAATGAATAAAATATTTTAACTTTTTTTCTATTATAAAATATCTTTATTGAATGTATATTTTGTCCAAATTAAATTTCGTAAAAGGAATAGTCGCAACCTGTGTTTCTATGAGAATTTGAAAATACGGAAAGGTATCTAGAAATTGTATTTCTTGGGGAAAAGGCCTAATAGTACGGAACACTTCCATTGGTGCAGTTTGATTCTGTACATCATGACATTTCAATGCATTCTGTCTTTGATTTTGACAGTACTTATCTAATATATTTTGAACAAAATTAACTACTAAATATTTAAAGATCAAGATCAACCACTAACAAAATGGTTTCCGAGGAAGCAGTAGCAAGATTGCAATCAGTTATGGACTTCTGCAGGAAAATTTTTCACTATGGATATATTCCGTTCGTACTATGGTGTGGATGGAAGCTGGGACCAGATAAGGGATGCGACGAATTTCATTTTACCCATTTACTTTGGCATTATTAAACTGATTGATTAGAAATAATGTGAATATATACTTTTTTTGAGGTTTGAGATTGTTAATGTTTGAAAATAGTCTGATCACTAAAATATCTATGTGTAATGAAAATGGCGACTTGAGTCATATTTTGAGTAATTAAAAGTCAATACTTTTAAATTTGTAGACTGACGGAGCTATTAAAAAAATGGCATTTATTCTCACAAAAACTGACTACAGGGCCCGCTCTAAGGCCGGATAATCCGGACATTTATTTATCCGGGGCGACAAATGTGACAAAATATAAATATTAAAATTAAAATGTTATTAATAAACATTTCTTATCACTATTTTTACAAAAAAGCTAAAATATTTGTTATTCATCTATATAGTTGTAAAGAAACTAGGTAATTATTCAGTAATAATTATTAAATAAAGAACACAGGTGTTATTTACACTACCTAATATAACCGCGCATCACATATAGGGTAAACCACCCACTTATTGGATACTTAAAGATTTAAAAAAAAATGAGACCATGCTAAAAATATATTTTTCCACCTAGAGATATAAGTGATGGTTTGTTTTAATCGATAATATATTAGCCTTAGATTGTAGAATTCATAATTTTAAGTAGGAAAAAATATAATTTTTAACAATGAAAAAACTGGGATTATGTCAAAAAATTTCTCTAATTTTTGGACATACTCAATCCAGTTATTAGACATTCAAAAATCAATAAGAGGTATGGTTTTTGCGTTTATTTAAGTATAATTTCATGAAGGTTTATTCATGTCTACCACTACTAAAAATTATTAGAAATTTTTGTAAGCATTCTTATACATAGTAAAAAGCTCGTTTATTTCTTGTTCCTCGTCTTCATTACTTTGTTTAACGTCCTCGTCTACTTCTTGATCCTCGGCTTCAGTATTTTGTTTAACGTCTGGCTTTAAGTTATTCAAATCATCACCGACTATTTTCTCACTTTCTCTACTTTCGGTTTTTCCTGATTTTTGTTTTGATAATTTTCAATCAAATTTTCGTCAGGCAAGTTCGCATCATGCGAGTCGTCAGTTCTTGTCGTATATTCTTCTGATTCGCCTTCTAAACAATTATTATTGTTTGCCAAGTTCACCAGCCCCTCGATTTTAAGTCTTTGCTCTCCACTGAAGCCATCTCCCTCATTTTTTTGGAATACAGAGACTGTGAAATTTCTTCTGGCAAGAGTAACATGTCCAGTGTTTACTTTTGGTTAAGCGTTTCTTACAAACGGAACAGACTGCATTTAATTTAATTTTCATTTGATTAACATACTTTTTTATTTTTCAAATTAGTTTTAGTTGTAGCTTTCTCTTCCCTTGTACGTTTTCTTTCAATATTTTTATTCTCCTCCTCCAAATTTTCTTGGTAGAGTCATGAAGTTATAGCAAAAGATACCCGTTCTACTTGACGCTTGTTTTTGCGCTGAGACTTATCTGTAATTTTGAGGTAGTCTTCAATACATCTATCCATTGATAAAGAACTAGACGCCTTGTGTATCGAATCGGTAGTGCTGTTATTTATTTGCACTTTTGAAGTTTCAGGTAGTTCTGAATTTTCAGTTTCTTGT